GTGTGTGTGTGTGTGTGTGTGTGTGTGTCCTGATAAGCCTGAGTGGTCTGACTGACCTTTGTATTTGTTCAAATAATTGTTATGGGCAGGTTACAAAAAATGTTTGTCATAATCATGTCTTGTGATTATTTGACAGTTTTATTTTCAAACTGTGTTTTTAATTTAGTTATGTTAGTTGTGATATTTTAGTTATGATGTAAATACAATAAAAATTAAACCAAGATTTAGAATAATTATCATTTTGATCCATACACTGGTGGGCCTCATTTATGTTCAACAAATTGGGCCTCGAGGTCAAAAAGGTTAAGAACCCCTGGCCTAATCTATTATAGTCCTCAAGAAAATTGAGTATACCAGAAACCCACTGAGACTTTGAACTAAAACATTTAAGGAACCTTGAATGCAGCTTGAAAATGTGAAGTATTATTATTCCTACGCAAGGTTTTAAGGTGGACAATATTACGAATTTCACCATTCAGTCTCACAATTTCTTTTGCACGTCTCTTCGTTTGTGCCTGAAGCTGAATACTTGTAGGAGAACAAGAACTGACAGACTGCTTTGAATGTATTCGCCCACGCAGCATGAGAGGAAGTGCTCCTGTGAGACAAAGCTCGGGGCTTCGTAAAACCCATTCAGCCAAAACCGGAAGTGTCCTTGAAAATAGTTTGCTGCAAAACTGTTCTTGTTTTTGTTCCTTCAGCCGTCTACAAACAGCCAGCTCATAGGATTAATAAATGTTGAAGGTATGTGTCTTTTAAAAATGTATTTCCTGTTCCTGCTTTTGTCCATTTTGCTGTTAGCTAACATAAACGATGCTAACAAGAGTCCTCTAGCTTTAAGCCAAGAATCAAAAAAGTAAAATTTTCTCTTAAAGCAATAATATTTACAGAGCAGTTTGTTGTTTGCTATGGTTCTTGATAAGAACTTGTAAATTACTGATGTAAAAATAAATGCGTTTCACTTATTTTGTTACCCTATCAAAACAAAATAGTTTGCACAAATTCCTGCTTTCCTGGTTTGCAGATCTTTACACTTGTTGCTTTTGACTACTGCCTGTATCAAAACAATCAAAAAGTGAGCTACACGTGTACTCAGTTATCAAATTGTACAGAGAAAACTTTAAAAAAGTAGTTATTACATAGTCATCTAGCCGTTTTTATGGTGTTCGCATCATCTTGTTCTGTTTGTTGACACAGATCCAGCTTCCTCTTCAGCCTGAAACCATTAAATAAAAAAGGCCCATCATGCCTCTGTTTCGGGTGTTGGGTGATCGGTCTGGGGCGAAGGCTCAGCCCAAGCGGAGAGGTCCAAAGATCAGGAAGGGGACAGGAAGATGCTGTATGACTGAGGATGACGACTGTGTCCCGTCTCTACAACACATGTGTCTGGTAAACCTCGCTGACAACATGAAGGAGGTGTGGGTGAAGGACTACGCCGACAACTACGTTGACCAATACTGCTTCAGATACATCATGGGGCCTTTCAACTTACTACGTGAGTCTGGGAGGGTGGATTTAACACGCTCATGCGTCTTAATAAACCTTTCTGCTCCCACTTTGATTTCCACTCTTTGGTGCAGAGGAGCGATCTTGACTGCACCACAAATCTTTTGTGTTTATGTTGCTGGGATCAGCTTCATTAATAATAAGCGTTACTCATAAACACCTTTTCAGTTCATCACAGACATGTTGAGGTGTACTGTAAAGTTTCTGTGCTAAACTTTTTCCTGTGGATTTTACAACTTTTCGCTTCCTTGTTGTCTCCGCTGCTCTGTCTGCAGCTGGCGAGCTCGTGGAGGAGCTGACCCTGTTGCTGTGTCGCAGGAAGCAGCTGTCCCGACCGGCCCTCCACCTCCTACTAGTGCCCCAGCTCCGACACCTGTCCCTGGAGAAGTGTCCCGGGCTGGTGACCCCGGCCCTCTGTGGCCACATCGCTGCTCGTTGCCAGGTAGAACAGAAATCCCTGCTTTTTACATCTCCGTTCTCTGTTGTTTGCGCTGAAATACCACTTAAAGAGTAACTTACCCCAAAATTAACTTTTTTAGCTGATAAACTGTCTAGAATGTGTCTAAAATGTTATATAGAACTGTTTCTGTGCTAATTTTGATGTTTTTGTGCGGATTTGTTCAAATCTGTAATATTTGGTCTAAAAACGTCTTTTTGCTGCACATATGAGTAGAGCAGTGGTACTGCAGGCTAATTTGCATATTGGTTAACGGCTCTCCACGGTAACGTGTCTTCTCCACAGTTTCGTCACAGCGGCTGTGTTCTGGTATAAAAGCCTCTCTCTAAGACACGCCCCTGCAGCAGTCAGAGGGTGGAGCTGTTAGCAAGCTTAGCATGATCGTCTGTTGAGCTTCAGCTTTGGGTGGGGAGAGCTGACTGCTGCGCTTCTCTCTCTCTCCCTCTCTTCACACACACACACACACACACACACACACACACACACACACACACACACA